GTCTACTTCGAATAAAAATTAACCATTTATTTTATTTTATGTTTTGTGTTAACAAACGTTTAAACTTATATTTGGAACTATTCAAATTTATACTTATGTAATATTTTTTGTTATTGAGAATTTTTCAATTGTGTCTACATTAAAGCACTTTTTGGGGAGGTTCTTTGAAAACAAATGAAACATTAAGAAGACATAGAAATATTTTTAACTGAAATGTTTTTAGAGGCTTCTTGATACTTTTGTTATTATGCGAAAATATATTTGTTTTTTTGTTGCCCTTATTTTAACAAAAAATAGTTCTGGAGCATAGCACATATCCTTAGTAACCACATTACTTTGATTTGAAATTTTCTATTCCTTTTGGTAATTGATTTTTAAATTCATCTTAATTTAGAAGTAAAACAGGGACAACATTTAAAACAAATATCATTTCTATGCAGCATCAAGGAATACTTGTTTTTAAGGTGGTCGCTCAGTTTTCTCTAGTTTTTTAGGCAGTCTCGGTACAAAGGCTATATATAAATAATATGCGAGTAAATGTAATCAAAAAATTATTTAATTAATTAAAAATTATTGGTTATCAAATATTTACACTATGATTGACATTTGTTCATTGTCCTTAATGTCAAATACAAGTATTAAACTTCTTATGCCTTTTCAAAAACTTTATTTTTAATTGTATTAATTGATAAAAGTTTAGTTTTTCATTAACTGAACTAGTAAATATTTTCATGAAATAATTGTTAAACATTTTTTTGATTTATTTTTAGTGCGTAAAGCCCTAAAAACATCATTATTAAGTGCTAATTGAAGTGTTCAAATAAAACATTTTACGACTACAAATTGTGATCCCAAGTAATAATTAACATTCGAAATTGACGTTGCGCTGTCTAAGATAAATACAAACGGCATACTACGTACCTATACGTTGAAATGTAATCTAAAATAAAATTACTTTCGGCCTCCAAATTATTAGTCCGCTATTAGAATCGAATAAATGTCATTTAACTTGATTTTTATTATTAGCGAGTCATTCAACTAGTGTGTAATGCGTTGTAACTACTATGGTACACAAATAAAAATATTTCCATGTTTAAAAACACGCAAATCAAACAACCGGAACATGAGGTATGAGTTGCTTGGAGAACCACAGACTTGTGAAATTGATCATTATGTGGTGATGATTGCAGGAAGAATTTATTTGCCTTCCCTAGACCTCAATTTAACTACTTTTTACCACGTCAGCGTTTAACTGCACCAACACGTGCAAAAAGTGGATTGACTTGTGGTTTGCGTTACGATAGAAATCTATGTTGGTGTAAACCAATTGAAATTCAGTCGAATTTCTAAAAAAAAATATATTGAGCCAACCATTTAATACAATGTAAAGTTTCCATTATTTTTTTTTATCAAGCTTTTAACACCGAAGTATATTAGAATTTCCATTTTGCTCTTTTTGTAAAGTACTTTTGCCGTTTGCGTTAATATTTTTACAGCTCAATGATCGTCGTACAATTGACATTATTTACAATTTTTTTTTTTTATGAAATTGCTCACCTCGTTGAATCTCGGTCTATTCGTAATCAGTTGGTTCCGTTCATAAAACTTGAACAGTATTGTATTTTCATAAACGTAGTAGACACACGCGCTTTATATTTTTCATTGAGAAATTCCTTAATGATATGAAGTAACTAAATACGCCTTCACCGAACTGTAAATGATTTACCTGGAATTTCGGAATCGAATACTTATGCACTGAAAATTAATGATGACCACTGGGAGCTACGAAAAAAAACTTGATCACAAAATACTAAACCAGGTGTAACTAAATATTACACAAATACTGTTAGAGATTTTCAAGTATTATGTTATGTATTTTTAATCAATATTGATATATTTTGCACCGTTTTTTATAATCATCAAACAGTAGAGGAATTTTCTAAAGAGATGGAACTAGACACCACCACATGTCTAGTGTTCGCAGCATTACAAGTTGCATACCTTTTAGTACCTAACATTTATTTTTTTCCCTCGATTAATTTTGAAACAATATTTTATTTACACAAAGATCGTAACGGATTTCTTAAGCGATCGGCGTTAAGTTTAACTAGTGTTTGATTTTTTTTTGTAAAATTTGTTTGTTCACAGAAACAAAAACGAAAACAACTGGTGGCTGGTTGCGTTTAAAAGGTTAATAGGCGCGACGAGTACCGAAGAAAAGCATTGGCCGCCGATATTTTCGCTTCCGTTTCCCGCCGGAAGAACACACAATGGCCCTACAGACATGCACATAAACGTTGATGCGTCGAGTGGAAAAACACAAAAATATATTTATATAAAAAAAAATAATTCCTCGTGTCACAAAACAAGCATAGCATATCGTATATTTATATACATCACAAGTATCTGTTGGTATTGTTGTATAAAATACAAAACGCAAACGTTCACATATGACAGGCGCTGTTGGCGTTAAAAACCGCAATTAAATTATACGTGTGTGCATGCATCATTTTTTTTTGGCGTGTCTAATGACACTACAGATAAAACACACGTCGTACTTAGCGTTATAGCCGCACAATAAATACATGTATATTACATTACACGTATAAGGTCACGGAGGATAAATTATTTCATGTTATTCGATGGAAAAGGATGGAATTTTTTTTTTTTTTATTACCTTTGTGTGTTTGTACATGAGTTTGACTCCGACTTGCAGGTTGGATGAACCAATGAGACCGCGCATGTCACGCTGGACATGACACAAAAAAAGTGTAAATACGTTATTAGTAAAAAACGAATGCGTTTTGTAACAATAATTGGATTTAAAACTAGCTAAATGTGCGCAGTCATTTCGATGAGGACACAATTCCCTTTTGGACACGATGAAACAAAAAAATATGTATAACAATAGTATTATCATGACGACGTGTACCGTAATCTTCTGTTTTAGTTTGAATTAGAATTATCGAATAAAAAAAAACTGTATAATATTTTTGAAACTATATCAATTTTCGTTTCCCGTTTTCATTAGTTTTTATGTTTTCCATTAAGTTTCACGTTCATAACGATTTTGTCGTTAGAATCATACATATTCATGTAGTTTATTATTACTTAATTACAAAATTAACTTATTATAATGAGAAATATACGTTTCTGACGTAATGTCTGAATTATAAAATATCGTTTAATTTTTTAGCAAGCATAATTTTCTTTTTATTACATTGTGTGCCTTATAACTTAAAAACTACATTGGTAAATATTTTATCACATTATACACATTGATTCAATTTACTGTTTACCGGTCACGGTCATTATTATTAGTGTCCACGTTATTTAAAAGAATTTTTAACTTGGATAAGTTTCCCAAACTTTAAAGACTTATTCGTAAAAGCTTAAAACTTTTTATGGGAATTGTTAATAAGTATTGAATATTTTATAGTCAATTGTATTCGTAAAAATAGGTAATTGATCAATTTAAAAATTCATTTATGTGTTTCAAAGTTTTTCAGTTTGTTCTTTTTTTGAACAATGACAGAAAGTTAAAAATGCACAATGTATAGCTAGTATAAAAAAATTGAGCATTTACATTTCTTTGTTATAATTAACGAGTTAGGAGCAAATCAATTCTGGATATTGAGGCCTAAATATTTATTTTTTTATCTAGACTGCACTAATAAATTAAGTTAAGCAAGTTAATTGGTTAGAAAAATGTTTGTTTGAAAATCCAATATGGATAGAAGTATGTTTATTAAATTTCATGTTAGATTCGGTATGTATTAATATATATAATTCAGTTGCCATATTTCACGATTCAATGTCGACAGCATTTTTTTGAAAGGAAACGGTTACAACGTTTTTGCTCGAAAACGAAAGGGTATTGTACATATTAAATATATTATAATATTGTACATTTGAACTCTGCGGTTATATTCTATAAATGTATTGGGACCTGTAGTACATACCTAACACGAACGGTATTTATTATTGATGGGCTAAATTTCATGCGTTAGCCTATCTATTAGTCGAGTATAATAGTAAAATATTCCGTTTTCGTGTAATCCAATATTCAAGAATGGTCACACGCCCTTTTTTCCCCTAAAACTTCCTTATTGCTGAATAATATAAAGGCATCTAGAATTAGCCCGTGTTCGTGTAATGATCGGTCAACGTTTTTAAATATGCCACGACGTCGTCGTATGGATATTGCAAATAAATCGAAATGATAAAAAACACACTCCGTACAGATCGCGGAGGGGTCACTAAACCGAGGCGGTAGTAGCCGTGCGATGGAAATGGCGTTCAATTACATCTCGTTTGTACTTGACACGCCCTCGGCGTTTTTTGCGTTTACTGTGCGCACACATACAGTACGCGTTTGTGCATTGCCGTTAAAAAAGGTTTGCGCGCAGGCATAGACCTAACTTGGCAATTACTCGTATTGTTTTTGTCAAGTTCGTCCCGGGCCGTACGTTCATTACAATGATATTATTGCCGAGCCGATTATGATAACTGCGCGTTCATTTTACCATAATATGCGCTTCCGGTTCGACACAATTGACCATCTGGACGGAAAATAACGATGCCGCACAGAAAAGCGTTTGTGTATCGATTGCGACGTAGAGGTGTCCAAGCTAATTGTACCGGACCTCTTCACACGTATCCACAACATGTCGTTCGATCCGTTTCGGATTAACACGATGTGCATTGAATAGGAGGCCCACACACAAAAAAAACCGTATTTTTACAATCTATTATTGCTTTCGATAAACAGCGGGCCAAATTAAAAGGTCCCTGTGATCATTGTACGAAACGAATGAACCATAACGCCCCAGGCAACACTATACTGCTGAACGCGCCTACCACAATTGTTTCTAATGTAAAACGAATACAGTGAATAGCGAGTACCCCGACGTCATTTAAGCTGTATGTTTTTTACGAGCAGAGGTATAGGTTCGTAAGTAAATAAAACACAAACAACACTTTTTAAACTCTAAACAGTAATATTATTTATTTTTGATGTAACGAAAATTTAAATATTTACACGTTCAATCGGATCAATAAATGTATATAAATAATATACTCATATTTATATATATATATAGAAATAGTACATCGAATACTTATAATATTGTAAATAGAATAGGTAAGTACGACCAGTTTGCACTCGCATAGAGTTTATGTCGGTTGGAAAACGATATTTCCCCGTGGCGTACATATGATGTATATAATATAGTAACAGTAAATAATGTACATAAATAATTATAACGAAGCGTTCAAAATTTTGCACTAATTTTTTGGCACTGTCAAATCGACTTGACTACACGTACTGATCTCTATAACCTAAACAACTATTTTTATATTAAAAAATACATATGCCTAATTACATATAACATTGCACAATTTTATTTTGTTACGTATATAACATATTACATTTTGTCATATATATATATATAAATAATAATACTATGTATATACTTAACAGCCTAATATATAAATAAATAAAAAAAAAATGTGTTTTTTTTTCAATTTGTTCTATCCGTTTAATTAATTAAAATAATTTATAATCTATTATTAATCATTAAAGTTGTAAGCAGAGTTTTCATAATTTATTTAATATTATTTGAACAGAACGTCCAAAATGAGAATCGGCCGTTTAAGTCTCTAATAATACACCAATGCTTTCTATTATTTACAAAAATAACTATGAACTACTCAGTAACAAAAACAAGAGTATGTATTATTATTATTGAACAACTCACAACCGGTACATGAATAATTAAATTGCGATATTTTTCACTATAAACGATATTAATAATTCATTAATCGATATAATTTTTACTTTTATTTCGCGGTAAAAGCGATGAGATTAAATGTAAATTATAATAAGTCAATGTATTTTTGTACTCGTACGGTACAATTAAAAAATTGCGGCTTCCGGTCGACGAAATACTTTAGAGAGTATACAATAATAATAAAACGCAAAATGATAATAATGTACAGTTGTAACATACAAAAAAACATTAAGTACAATGTTTTAAAACTAAGGAGAAAAACGACGACTAGGTAATGGTGTGTATGTGTGTGTTTGTGTGTTGTGTCCCCGTGATGGTTGCGTGCAGATCGTGTATTAGACGTCCACAGTGGGCGAGTCGATAGAACGATCGTCTTCAACGTCTACGGACCCGGGCCTGCTGTCCATGGACCTGGGGGAAGCGTGGGCAGACCTGTGCGGTTCAGGTGTCGGGCTGCGGCCGCCTGGCATGTGTGGCATCGCTGCGGGGTGATGGACACCGTAGTAAAGTGGGTGCGCCAGAGTCGGCGGTGGCGGTGGCGGTATATGGTGTCCACCGGCTCCAGGACCGCCGGCCATACCCGGGTACAGTCGGTACGCCAACGGCTTCTGTAGCGTGGATACGGCCGCTGCGGCTACGGCGGCTTGTCGGTAATACAAGTCGGCGGCCGACGGGGCGCTGCCGGGGCCAGAGCCACTACCACCCGCCCCTGCGGCACCTCCTGGATAAGGCCAACAGCCGTACGGCGGTCCTCCGTAGAGCCGTTGGAAAGCGGCATAGTTGCCAGCCTCGGCCAACAATTCCAAACCAACTGCTGTTTGTCGTTTCCACTTGGTCCTGAGAACATAAAAATAAGGCAGACCGTGAGACTGAGAAAATTAAAATTTGTCGTGTTGCGAAATTGATCGAACAAGACAACCGCTAACGACATTAAAAATAAACAAAAATGTCGAAAATATTAAATATTTTTTACAAAAACAAAATAGTACTATTTTATCTTCATTATTTAAAATAATCTTTTTACCATTAGATATGGTCTAACAGTGAAATTTATTTTTACATTATTTTGTACCGTTAAAACATTTTAATCAACGTAATTTTAATTGGAAATAGTCTTGTACGTGTAGTAAGACACAAAATTATGGTTAAATTGCTATTAGAAACTTTTATTATTTTGACTATTTTTGTATGTAAAAATATACCTGTCCAAAGCCCATGGAATATTAACTACTGAATTTTAATGGTATTTTTACGCTTCTTTGTGTCATTATGTTATAATATTATATTTTACATAGTATAGCGTGCAGAGTGTTGGGTATTTTTTTTTATCTTTACACTATTATAGGAAATTATATGGACGTGTCTACAGTGTATTATTAGAGGCTTGTGCATTAATAATATTGTGTATGAGTATAGCGTTTTGACTTTTGGGAATTTTACTTTTAAACGGTGCTTTAATTACTAAGGTAAAAAATAAAATATTATTACAAAAGAGTGTTTTGTTAACAGCACAGTCACACGTTTATTTCGAACGAAAATATTTTAAATAAAACAATAGACGTTCCGGGTCGACTACAACAGTTGTACGATAAGTTTGAAGGGAATCGTTTTTTAAAACTCATTGTTGCCTTGTCACTTTGCCATTCAAAGAAAACTACATATTTGAGTTACATAATTCACTATCGTACGTTTAATTAGAAGCTCATCGCGTTGTAAGTCGTGCAGCAATTGAAACATTAGCAGAATCGCCAGAGTCCGTCGCACGTGCTCGACCGTCGCGCATCGATGTAACGATTCGTCACGTTGGTTTTCCATATGAAAAAAAAAAAAATTACTCGTGTTTGATAAAACGCCGAAGTGGTCAGAAAAAAAAAAATCTAATCCGTACGAGCCGCGGCACATGAGACGAGTCAAAAAGTATTGAATAAAAGCTAAACGTGACTGAAAGAGAAATAAAGAGTTGAAAATGATCTTTCATCGGATCATGACCGAGTGGATTTGGACGAAGAAAAAAAAATGTTTGCTCTCAGTGAACAGCGTGACTAGCACAATAATTCACGGATCGGAAATGGCTTTTTTTCGCCTCCCTCGTGGCTCGTTCACAAACACGGTTTTTTATTATATTTATTTTTTCTCCCCTTGGCAAACGTCTTCATTGGCATCAGCAGACGGTGACGAGTCAATCGCCGCGGCTTACTTTGCTGTAGACGCACCGAACGTTATACGTGTGCAATATTTCATCAAGTGTAAATAGCTGTTGGCACCAATTAAATGCCTTTGCCGTTACCTGTGTGGTTAATATGTTATAATTATTACAACGCCGTTTAATAACCTCCTTCTCGTTATCTAATTCCGGCGGCGGGTCCATGCCAACAACTAAAAATTGTTCAAACGCGTTTACTTTGAGCCGGCCAAAACTCATTTGTCATGTCCGTACACTCGACAAGTATTAATATTTTAAAATTATTATTAACTACTAGAGAACCGTCAACGCCGAACGGTAGCGGGAAAAAGTAATTTTAATTTTTCTTTGATTTGGCTTAGCAGCCCAGAGTGGATTTCGCAGGGCCGTGCGCTTATTATGAAAAGATTAACAATAAAAATAAAAACGGTCGATAACGATTCGCAGAACACGCATGCGACCACAAAAACGACACGTCAAAGGCTAAAACGGTAATAAATTATAACATTTAAACGTATTTGCCCGACGCATCTATTTATGGTCGCGTACCTTCCTTCCTGACAGTGTCTTTTGACCAACCCCCTTTAATAACACTCGGTCGATCACCAATCCTTTGCTGGCAGATGCGCTGCCAAGTCAATAAATTATATCATTACACACAATAAGGCCGCAAAATACAAACGATTTCATCGCCAAGACTTCTTACACGGTTTTCACACTCCAAATGATAATAATATGTCTTTTTTTACACACACACACTCAGTGGGTTATTAGGCGGCTTGTTACAATACAACAACACATTACCGTTCGAGTGCCTCTACACGGCCGCCGCTGTTGAACGCCTCCTCCTGCCCTCGTGTACCGCACAACAATATGATCATACGATACATTATAATAACACGTACTTGACAAATGATCGACCCTCTTTTGGGAAACCGCCGCGGAATTGTTGTGTATTTATACAAGAGACAGAAATACATTTTACACGAGCGTAATTTAGCTTTATAAACATGAATGTACAAAAATTTCACAGTGGCACACCCCAATACAAACATTGCAAAGGGGCGGGGAAGAGTGCTTTGCATTCTGACGGTACAACACAAGTACTATTTATAGAGTAGAGCAGTAACGGTCGCAGACGTTTTACACGTTTTTTTTTTTAACGCCTCTTCTAAAACCATTCGAGCCCGCCCTTAACGCACATACTCGTCTTCATTTAAATAGATACGAGCGACAAACAACTATCATCCCTTCCCACACCACGTGCGCTTAAAACGCCTACGAGATAACTGCTTCGATACTACCGAGGGCATATTTTCAATGGGATATTTACCTTCTGTTTTGGTACCAGGTCTTGACTTGCGTGTCGGATAAGTTCAGTTTGGCGGCCAATTCCATGCGGTCCTGGACGCTCAAGTACTTTTGCCTTTCGAAGCTCTTCTCGAGCGTTTGTAGCTGATGGTCGGTGAACGCCGTCCTGGCCTTTCTTTGTTTTTTGCTCAAGTTCGAACCTGAATTCCTTCCGTCTTCGTCTCTGTGACCTGTAAAATACAAAACCGAATGAGCAACCGCAAAAAATGATTAAAAAAACGTCTCATCCGCGTGTGGGTTATTTACAGGTGAATTCGAGCGACTTAAGGGCGTACAAACACACGGTGGTTTTGCATTGTAATAATAATCGTACCGCCAACGAGGTTAAAAAAACGCGATTTAATGCTTACAAGTATTGTAACGTATGGTATGACACGATCATATGTTTGCGGCGGTCAACACGCGATTCTAGTTCGGCGTTTGAGTCATTAGTTTTTTTGCGGTAGGAAAACGATAAAAATCGTTCACAAAACGCTCTTGTATAAACGGCATTATTATAATAATAACAACGCCGAGTGTCGTGTCATACGTTTTAACGGTTTTTATTATGCTATAAGTGTTTGCGTGCCGAATATTTCAGTGAAAAACCGGTGACTAAATGTTGTTCATACACTTTTTACCGGTTGAAATGTTATTATATTTCAATAATCTCCGGGGGCCGTTGACGATTTCCCAAAGTTGTTCGAAATAGATCACCACCAGCCGACGATTACCAATTGATATCAGACCGACCGGCTGCTGCCGAGTACGTGCGCAGTTTGATTCAAACACCCAACGCGCCCGCACGACAACGTTATTGTATTAAGTCGTTCGAGTGTTGTCGCGTTACGGCCATTGTACGACATGTATTCGTTTGTCGATTTGCATTAGAATAACCGGAGCGGTGGCCGACAATAGCTTTTAACACCATTATGCGTAAGTGTGTGTTGACAGGGGTCGGACGAAACGGTGGAGATTGTTGCGAGACGGTAATTGGAGTAAAATGAAAGCAGAAAAAAATACACTTGGGGGAGAAGCGGGTCGAAAGCCAATGAGCCGCGGGGCTTAAGTGGTCCGTTCAGCCCTTCTGAAAATAATTCCTTTGGGTGGAGCGCCCGGTAGTCGGTCTACCCCTCCGTCGTCGTTTGTTTCAGGCCCCTCTCTCGTAACGCACGCGGCTAGTGTACATATCAATTTTAATAGCACTCGACTCGAATAATTCCGGTACACACACACAAGGGCCCCGCCCAGATCGTTTAAACGGGTTAATGGACTCGTCTTGTATTCTGAGATCAAGACGACATTGCGATGCGATCGAGCGGTTTTTCGGAGTGAACAGGACCTGCTTAATTTCACTAATGGTCCCGGAAACACTGCAGAGTACATCGAGACTCTGCCAGTGGAAAACTTTGCCGCGGAAAATGTTCGCGTCGTCGGTCAGGTACGGTGTCATAATGTGAATTCAAATTGTGAAATTGTGTAATCTCAGAATTCGTTGTTCGTACAATAATTTCGGTCGCTCATTTCTGGCCAGTCTGCTAATGCCGAGGATGGCGCGCTACTGTTTACAGTGTCATATTGCTGCAGAAGTAGTGTGCGAACGGCCAAATGGCTGTAAACGGAAAGCGTGTGAGCGAAATGCTGTACGAGGGTCAATACGTGGTGCCGGCCGTAACCTATGCACGGAACGGGTATATGAACACCGAGTGGATTCATATTTAAACGCGGTATTATATTATTAAGGGTGTTGTTTATACAGTAAAACGACTCGGTTGCCAAGAACTTTGCGTGTTCGCCCGAGAAAAGGATATAGACACACAACTGCGGTCACCGTTTACAAAATATAATTACATTAATAATAGATTTTTTTTTCCTTTGTTTACGGTACCCTTCGCCTCCCCGCCGACATGTACGAGTTTGGGGATTAATAATTAGTATGGCGAGCATAACCCCATGTAGTTAATAATATTTTAATCGTTTTCTTCCAATCGCTTACTGCGCACCACCGAGTTGACCAGGTTTAAAACACACCGAAACGTTTACAATTAGTGTATTTAACTAAGTTTCGGCTGTAAGGGCTGCCCGGTAAAAAACTTTTATAAACGTGTCGCCACTGACGAATTACCGGCTGATTTTGATTTAGGCGTTCTTTTAAAACGTCCGGTGCGAATACGAGAACAATAACCGCAATGAATTATTTTGACGACAATTACCTTTCCACCGCGATACCACTTTATGACTACTTTAAGGGTTCCGTTAAAATACTCAAACGAGTAAACCGTTAAATTGATGCTCATTGAATAATAAAACGTTGTAAACATCTGAACCGCATTGACGTATAATAAAAATACGTTTCCGCATTTATTCTTCATGCGAATAGAAAACCAAGTGATAACACGACTACTAATAGCTGCGGCGGTTACCTCAGCAATGTTGCCAGTGATTTCCATAGATGCACAACGGTATTACGATAAAATATCATTACAAATCACATGAATGCGGTTGTTTTTATTTTTTGGTGCCTATTATTTTAGGTGTATATATTCATATTGGTGTGTATTATGAGTCACCATTGCTGTTACACCATCAGGGCAGCGTCAAGGAAAACTCGAGTTGTCCGCGGTGACACACGCCGTAGACGACTCGAGGGCCGAGAATTCAATGGGAGTGCACACGTTTAGTCAGTCCGCCGTAATTGAGACGAGCGGTTTCAGGTTGGACGAAGTAATAGGGGCGGGACTTGCGCATTAGTTGAACGTTATTTCATTAAGCACACAATGGAAGCGTTAATACACTGAAAGTATAACGAGATAATTGACTCGTCGGAAACGGTTAGCTTCGTAAACTCAACACCTAGTGCCAAGTGTTGGCGGTGACATTTCAAGGGAATTTTATGCTCTTCATGTGCGAGTACTTGCCGTGTGTTGTTGTACGCGACACATACTCAACGGGCTTCTAAATTAGCCGTAACTCGGTTCCAAAATAGTAGGACGGGGCTATTAATCAACCGCAGTTTGTCGCCACGTGCAAGGCATACTCGGCGTCGTGCTTTGCTGTGCGCTCAATGACGTCGTTAATATATTGTTCTTAATTATAATATTATCGCGGCAATGTTTCCTTTTTTAAAATATTCAATCATGGCCGACGAATCCGCCGAGGGTGGGGCAGACGCGTCTAATTTGGCCCAGTGTGCTCGCAACACACACGAGTAACGTTGGCAACATGCCAAGACGGGCTGGTCGCGTACGACAGACAAGGTGGTGCGGCGGATGCAGCGGCGGCAAACGATTTACTGCCTCCGCCTGGTATATTAGCGCCAATTAGTGACTGCCAATGATATATTATTACAGCGTTGAATACCAAACGTAATTTACCCCCCGCGACAGTTGATTACACGAATAGCGCATACTTTGGAGCGCTAGCCGAGTTCGTGTGCCAACGTTTTTGACTTTTTACTTTCCGAGTAATCAAACGGCTCTTTTCATGAAAAATAAGAATGTCGATCCGAATAGCACTTCGTGAACAACATTACAATAACATCGAGTTGGCTTAGTAATTAAATTGCGATTCAAAAGTTTCGCGGAGACTACACAAAATTATTTCACGATCGTTATACGAATTTCTACACTAATGTCAATTGACTCACGAGACAAATGGACACAAACCATTGAAAATTAAAACGCGATAACCAATGAAAAATGTCATTCGACCTTAGAGCGATTAGAGACGTTTAATAGTAACAGTTCAGTCGATTCATAGGAGTGAACTTGAAAGTCTACAAAGTACGACTCGGTGTTAATGTAATTGAAATTATTTTCGACAAAACTAAATAAATAACACAGTACAAAGAAGTATAATAATTTTTTTTTTTTTTGTGGCAGTTTGGGCGCTTAGGATGTATTATCTATTTAAAAAAGCCATTGTTGTTACCAATTTATATTATTTAGCGAAAAAACACTCATCGTTTCGTGCACGCGTGATTTAAACCAACGTTTTTTCTCCTCCTTTCCCCTTAATCGACTTTCCTTTACAATATTTAAGTGGCTCGGTGTTATTATTACTATTATTGTTATGTACATATTGAAATAACTAATACAATTTCGCCGGTGCCCAAAACAACATCGCGTGACGGCATCACGACTATCAGAGTATTACATTATTGTATTGTACTCGTAATATTATACAGCCAATCGGTTTATATTGGATTTAATCGATTAAAAAAACAATTCAAATAATTGTCGTGCTGGACGAGTCGCGCGCTACGACATTGTACTTGGATAGCATCCCGACCCCGTGGCTTTTTTCGCCTTTTCCGCCTTTTGCCGTCGGGGGTGGCGTGCGACGGCAGCAACAAAGTACAAAATAACAGGGAAAATATTAATGAAATATGTAAAAATAAAACTGAGTACAATATTGCCGCGATACGGTCGCCGTCGACGACAAAACGGTTTTTTCCCCTCGTATCAAATGTTCGGCTAAGTGCCGGCGCTTAAAAGCGGCCGTGCCTGTAAAAAGGAAAATAAAAAACGAATAAAACTTGCCCGAAAAGAGGTAAACGCCTGTGTATAAATATGCCGGCAGATCGAATGTCGCGATAAAAACATGTTTAAATGGTTCGGTTGTGAGCGCGCAAAAACAAACTCGCGTACACGCATTAGTCGGTCCGAAGTGGTGGCAAAATGTGGCCCAGAGGTTTTTTATGCAAATATTGTAATTATTATTTCCACTAGGCAACACGCACGACAATGGGAAATACCAATTGCGACCCGACTGCGGAGGATATCGGCACAAAAAACCCAACACGGTAGCCGTACGACAACACGACAAGTTATAACATAACAGCGCAATAATCGCGATCGGCCGGAATAGCGGAAACGTCGAGTGGCGTACTTAATCCGTACGGTGGTCCCTTTGTGTGCGTTGGGGTAGTTTTTTGATGTTAATCCGACACGGACCGATTCGAAACGTCAAAACCGTTTACACACATCGCTCTGGGAATAGCGTTAAAAATATCATTATTGTGTTATTGTGAATCGACATATCGATTTTTGACTTTAGAAGAATAACGCACAAGACCCGCGAGGCCCATTGAATTGTATTTTGTTGGTATTTATTTGAAAATTTCGGGGGGTCGTACGGTGTGTTTGTCGAAATAATGCGTTTTCTGCGAACCGAGTGTTTATCCGCCGATTTGGATTTACCGTGCGAACCGGCAAATACATTGTGCACTGCAATGATCGTTTTTCGGACACGATGTCGTTACACCGGTAACGGTTTACATATTTTTATATTGCGCAATTATAAAACAATTGTAATAATTGCACTCCAATTACTCGTATACCTATTTAGTCCGTGTTGGTTTTTTATTTTTTGTGGCCAATGTCCCACAGTAGACCCAGTAAAGGTTTTTGAACTCATCGAGAATTTTTCACTTACAAAATTATTCGGATTTCAGACAAACATGTAATCAATTTAGTTTACTAACGTTAATCTGTGTAAAAAAAAAAAAAAAATGCTTCTCATGAATTTTTATGTTCTTATTTTTTAGTACAATATAAACATTTTTTGAGCTTGTTCAAAAATTCCAAAGAATTATTTTTTAGTTTAGAAATTAAAACATTATCTGTTGCAGACCAACCTTTTTTATTTGTGTTATAATTTTTGAATAAACAATTGAAAATCCATAAGATTGGCGGTTACGTTATTTTTATAGGAAATAATTTTTGTCCATTTAATCAAACACTTACCATTAGAGCAGACCGATGAGTTGTCGCCGGGCAATCCGCTATCAGTGCCACTTTCGTGGTCGTCACTCAAGTCCGAGTCATTCACGTGGCCAATGCCTGAACCGATACCGCCGTTGTTGTTTCCGGCCGCCAAACTTGCACCGGAAGAGCGGCCGTGCAACGATAGATCCCTGGGCCCGTCCGTGGACGAGGCCGGCGAAACCGGCGAACCGTTCCCGCGGCCGCTGTCCGACAGTATGTCGGTAATCATGAACCTGGATCTGCCCAGGTGATGGAGCGGCATTGTACCACCGGCTGCAGCAGAAGCGGCTGTCAGGTCGTGCACGGTCATCCTATGGTCTGCGGCCACCGCAGCGAGCCCGATCGGCCACTGAAGAAACGTCGTGCCACCACGTCCGGACACCGTTGGCCCGTGCGGCGCGCGCGTACAGTCGAGCGTCGCCGTCGTAAACGTCACGAGAAATCCGCACTAATGGAAAATGTGAACGACGTGTTCGCCGGGATCACAGCAAACCGTATGATAAAATATTAATAAAAAAACAAACACGATTACAGTGTGTGTATGGTCGACAACCGTCGAGAGCCGTACGTCTGGCAATGACGACGAGTTACGCTGGCGAACGGTGTGTGAATGTGTGCGGTCAGAACAACGTGGACGATCGACAGACCTAGTGGTGATGTCGGTAGGTGCGCAGTCGATGGTTAACTAAACGATTGGTTAAGCGACTGTTAACGGCGGCGGTGCCGGCGACATGCAGTGCCGGAAGGGGCGACCGCCCATCTGTGGGCGGCTCTATCCAACCAGAGGCTGCCGTCCGGCGACGATAACACGATTATCGTCGTCAATACACACACACAAGCGACAACGTTCGCCTCTCCCAATAATCCTCCGCCTCTGCAAGAGGATCCACACCGCAGCTGCCACCCAGCAGCCCTCGGTGCCAGAATTAATCATAACGTTACAAATACTTAAGTAATGGCAATTGTAACGATTATTTGTAATCTTATTGTCTTATATTTCAATCTCAAAAAAACTAATTTACCACTTTGCGTATATATTTTTAATAATAAGGTTTTTATTTGAAAAAAAATATCTTAATTACAAAAATTTATTCGAACGATTACGTTTTACAAGAATTAACAATTTAGTTTACTTTTATAATTTTCAATCATCGAGATTAAACTATCAAATCAATACCTTAAAATTGGTATTAAAATATGAAGTTATAAAAGTGTCATCACGATACCAATTTGCATTGTTAATTAAAGAATAACACAACACAATTTTTAATTATAAATATTCTGATAATACATAATAAAATTATTCCGGTTTAAATATTTCAGAGTTATATTTTACGATGTGCCAGATAGCTCTCTCTCTCTTTTTTTTTTTTATAAAAAATCAATTATCAACATATTTATTATTAATAATATTATTGAGTCAATAATATACTATGGCAAAATATAGTATAATATAATACTATGGTAAAATGATTTTTTTAATACTATACGAGAATAATATTTGTATAACAATGAAAAATTAATTAAGTAATTAATATTAATTTGTGACAGTGTGACTAAAAGTCGTCATAGATTATTAAACCTAAAGTTTTTGCAATGTTGACAGTAATTGTGTAGAAAATTATTTTTTTAGGTGAATAATTATTATTAAATAAGTGTTTTTATGAAAAAAAAAAAAAGAAACATTTAAAATAATAAAAACAAAACTTTTTTTAAGACTTCATGCGTCTTCAGTGCTTTTATATGATCAAGAGAGCAAAAAATATTGAACTTTTGTTACAATTCATTATGTTATTTGTTAAACTTTATACTAATATTTAATTTTGAATTTTATTTCGAATCAATATTATTAAAATGATTATTGTGATTGATATCTTACGCCGGTATAATCATTATCTGATAGAAGGTATCTCCTAAAAAAATACAATTAATGACGATTATCATAATACAATATAAACTGTAAAATTGTCTTGAATTAAGAAATTATTCACAACGTATATAACTTCCAAATTTTAAAAACTTCATTGAATACATATTAAAAAAAAAAAAAAA